GACTTTTTAGTTAGGCAGGCCTAATACCACTAACCTGTAGTATCAAGAGACAATGTCATAGCAGACTTTCAGAGATAGTGAAGAAATAACATTAAAGGCATTATAAAATGAAGCCAGCAAAGAGGAGAAATGAAATGTGATCATGACAACTCAAGTTTGAGTGATATTCATTGTCATAATATTATAAAGTATGAGTTGAATTTACCCAGATGTATGAGAGGTTTGTGAAATTGGCTGTGATTACAAGAATGGAAAAGAGGAAATAGAGAAAGATAAGTTGTTAAATGGTTAACTTTTTTCTAGTGAGAGATAATGTCTAAAATTGATGAATTAATAATAGTAATAGAAGTCACATGCTAATGGCTCATCAGGAGACTGAGATCTGGGTGATCAAGGTTCAAAACCAGCTCAGGCAGAAAAGTTGATGAGATTCTATCTCCAATTAACCAGCAAAAAGCTGGACTGGAGGCATGGCTCAAATGGTAGAATGACAGCCATGAGTAAAACATATTGAGGAGGACACTAAGTCCTGGTACTTGCACACACAAAAAAATATAATAGAGCATATTACTCAGATGTAATCAATTAAATAATGTAAATATTTAAGTGAGTTAACTGGGGTTTTAGATTGAGATTTGAGAAGACTTGGTTAAGAAAGAGATTATTGCTTTTATTATAATATCTTAAGTAATTGACTTTTTTAAATACATGGATTTCTTTCCACTAAATAAAAGTATTAATAAGGATAATTAAGAATCACTTTGGCTTTATTTTGCTTCCCAATAGAAAGTTAGTATGTGGGGGGGAGGGGGGAGGAGGAGAGGGGACCTAGGTATAAACCCAGTGCTTTGCACATGCTAAAAACAGGCCATATCTCTGAGTTGTACCACCAGCCTCAAAGACTTCCTGCAGAAAGTCAGCTTTAAAGGAGGACTTTATAGAACATAAGCTTATTTGCCTATGAGAAAAGTGGGAGGAGCAAGCTGGCTGGTAGATAAGGAAATGTCTCTTAGGTAAAAGGAAGATTGGGATGATGCCAGGGGGTTTGTTGGGAATGACACTGGGGAATCTATTTGTAGAAGACAGAGTGATGGACATGGCTGAGGTTTAGCTAAAAGGGCAAGTGCTGACGGTGTGTTTTGGAGACCCTTAGCTCTAACAGACCAAACCTGTTTTTAGTCTCTGCCCCATAGCAAAATGTATACTGGAAGGCCCTTCCTTCCCAGCAAACATTAATGCCGCTACTTTCTCTTCTCAGTGTTACTGAAGAATTAATTTAGGGCCACAGAAATAATATTTTAAAGGAGGCCTTTGAAAATGTTGGCATTTTAGTTCAGTGTGAGTGCACACGTTTCTCTTAGCATATCCTAAAAAATTTATTTCTTGCTATCTCAGATAATTGAATGGGAAAATCTGTCTTCCCCCTCCTACTCTCTCTATTCCTTCCATACACAGTGCTGTGACCATCAGTGTCCCAGCCAAAATAAAAAATGGAGCTCCTAACTCCCAGGATGATGATATTGAGAGGGTAGGCCTTTGGGAGGTGATTAGTTTCTAAGGGATTACAGATCTCAAAGAGTGGGGTTAGAGGTCACCAATCCTATTGCCTGCCTTCTTCTACTGTTAAAGAGGTTAAAGAGAGAAGCTATCACATAAGAACCAGGAAACAGACTTTTTTATTGTGAAAATACTGTATAGAGGGGTTACAATTACATGGGCAAGATAATGAGTACATTTCTTATCAAGCATTGTTGCCTCCTCCTTTGTTTTCCCATCCCTTCTCATCTCTTCCCATTCCCCCCCCCCCGCCACCATCCCCCCGCAAAGTTGTAAAGTTCGAGGAAACAGACTTTTTTTTACCAGCACCAAATCCAAATAAAAAGTAAATAATTGCCTGTTTTATGATGGAAATAACTAAACATCTATGTAGTTCTTGGTTAGCATACGAGTCAGGTTCTCTGGAGAATAGAATGTATCTATAATTGCAAGCAAGGATTTATTAGGTTGGCTTACACATCCCAAGTGACCCCAGGACCATCAGCAGGCTAGAGACCCTGAAAAACCAGGAGCTGCTATGTCTGTGGGACTGGAGGCCTTAGAAGGAGGGGGACAGTGATGCAAGCCAAGTTTGAGTCTGCAGGGCTGGAAGCTCTCTGGAGAATTACTGCTGCGAGTGAATTTAAAAGCTGAAGTCCAATGTCTCTGGATGATAGCAGCAGGAAAAGAGACTCGAGAATATTAAAGTGTGTGTAAGCTTTCTCCTTCTCATTCTGTTCCATCCAGGCCTGAGGCCCTTTAGATGGCACAGCCCACATTCAGGGCAGCTCTTCCTCACTCAGTTCCCTAGCCCCCTCTCAGCCAGCCGTCTCTGGGAACACTGACAGACACTTCTAGAAGTGTCTTTACCCATTTTCTAGGTATCTGTCACTCCAGTCAAGGGGACAAGAGTAGCCACCACCAATTGGACCAAGCACATTGGTGGTGGTTTAGCAAAGGTATGTGCAGTCAGGTACACACACACACACACACACACACACACACACACACACTGGAGAAATCACTTTAACACACACACACACACACACACACACACACACACACACAGTGGAGAAATCACTTTAACATTTTCCCCTCGGGCTTTGTGCTCTATTTTAGTAACAAAAGATCAGCTCTTTCCCACCCCTTGAAAAAGAAATGAATGAAAGGAATTTCTAGAAAACCAGAAGAGAGAAAAGAGAAGAGCTTGTCCTTCTAAGGCTCCAGTAACCTCATTTGAAAAGTAGTTTCATGTATTAGTGAGACAATTCTCTCCTTGTCTGTGTGACAGTTTAACAGAATGTAACAGATTTATCCGGCAATTTAAACAAGTTACAGTGACAACAGTGGGTGCTGGCAATGTAGATGGAGCTGAGAAGATGTGAACACAGCCTTTTCCTCTCTAATATCTTAGGATTCCTGGCAATACTTGAGCTGATACTTGAGCTGAAGTAAAGACTTCTTAACTATCCCTTTATTGAAATGTGGTCTTTGACTTGCTAGTTGACACTGCCTGTTTTGGATAAACATCTATGGATACTAGTTGAAGCACTCAGTTCTAGCAAGAACAAATGACCGGCACCACTCCAACAATGGCCTTAGTAGGAGCAATTGTAAGGCGGACACAAAATAATGGGTAGATTTCACAGGAATCCAATTACAAAATCAATTTCTTTGTCCTGCTTTATCTGTACAGCTTTTTTTCGGTCCTCCTTACTGTAGGAGAGCTGTTGTTATTCTTTTCTTCTGCTGGCAGTTCCTCTCAGCTGGCTGCTCTGGGTGTTTTTCCTGCCTGCTTGCCCCCACTGCTCCAACTCCCCACCCTGACCCAGAGCATAGTGAGGTGGTGGAGATACCAGGAGATCTCCCAAGAGCCCTGCCTGACCCACCAGGCCACCCTTGGCTCCACCTCAGTCAGAAGCCTTTACTGGGGCTAAATTAGCCTCCTAAATAAGCAGAGGAAATGAAGGCCACACTCATTTGGGCCAAACACTAGGCCATTTATTTGTTCTGTTTTGCTATTTTGTAATGTATCAAGTGTTCGAATTGATTTGTTCCCAATGTCTTTGTAAGTCATCATCATCATCATCATCAGTTGTAGGCTTTAACTCTGGGCCTGGGGACTATAGCTGAGTTCTTCAGCTCAAGGCAAGGCTCTACCACTTGAGCCACGACACCACTTCCAGTTTTCTGGTGGCTGGAGATAAGAGTCTCACAGACTTTCCTGCCTGGGTTGGCTTTGAACCTCCATCCTCAGATCTCAGCTTCCTAAGTAGCTAGGATTACAGGCATGAGCCACTGGCACCCAGCTATAAGTTATTATTTGCTATGTTCAATGGCATCTTTGTAAGGAACTCTATGAAAAGTAACTAAATCAATGCATGTAACTCAAAACCTAGTATGTGCCTATTACTATGTGATTTGTATTCCAGCTTGGATGATGGAATGTCACATGAAACTTAGGGTAATATGTTGATAAGCAAGATCAATGTTCTTGTTAGGTTGTGAAGAAAGAGAGAGAGAAAAAGGAAGGAAGGAAGAAAAAAGGAAGGAATGAAAGGCAATGAAAGGGCAAGCCTTTAAACAGATAACAATGAGGAATTTATTTTCTGAAATTTCTAGAAATGACAAAACATTTGGTCCAGAGCTGAGTGCTAGTGGCTCACACCTGTAATCCTAGCTACTCAGGAGGCTGAGATCTGAGGATCGCGGTTCAAAGCCAAGCCGGGGCAGGAAAGTCCATGAGACTTATCTCCAATGAACACCAGAAAACCAGAAGTGATGCTGTGACTCAAAGTGGTAGAGCGCTAGGCTTGAGTGAAACAAACTCAGGGACAAGACTCAGGCCCTAAGTTCAAACCCCCCAACCAACTAAAAGAAGAACATTTGGTTCAGAAAAATAATGATTGATATATATATATATATATATATATATATATATCAATCATTATTTATATTTTTATATATTAGCATTATATATATTATATATAGAGAAAACTTCTTTGGCAAGAGGTTCTAAATAAAATTGACATAAATAATCTAGATGAGAATAGAAATGTATTACCGTGTGTGTGTATGTGTGTGTGTGTGTGTGTGTGTGTGTGTGTGTGTGTGTGTGTGTGTGTGTGTGTTGGTTCTGAGGCTTGAATTCAGAGCCTAGATGCTATTGCTTCACTTTTTTACTTAAGACTAGTGATCTACCACATGAGCCACAGCTCCACTTCTGGCTTTCTTGTGATTAACTAGAGATAAGAGTCTCATGAACTTTCCTGCTCAGGCTGGCTTTGAACCTCAATCCTGAGAGCTCAGCCACCTGAGTAGCTAGACTACAGGTGTAAGCTACTGGTGCCCAACTAAAAACTTACTACTTTTAAAATAAAAACAAAAGCTAACAGTCATTGTATGATGTACTACGTTGTAATGGGCATATTTTCATCTCAGTGAACCCAAAACCTGCCTTCTAGTCTTTAGAAAGAAACTGGAAGTTAATCCGTGATGAAGGCCTTGCAGTGATGGACACAACCAAGGGTCTTTTCCTGCCTGAAGATGAAAATCTGAGGGAGAAGGGTGACTGGAGCCAGTTCACACTGTGGCAGCAAGGTGAGTGTGGACTCTGGTTGTCCTTCATCTAGAAAACAAAGTGACAAGATTCTTCTGGTGATATTCTCAGAACTGGGGTTCCTAGACTTAAAGAAAACTGCTTGAGAAACCTAGACATGCACACATGCGTGCACGAGTGTGTGTGTGTGTGTGTGTGTGGTTGTGCAGTATACTTGGATATCTCTAGTGAGAGAAAGAGAACGAAGAGGGAACTAATATTTTTCATTTTCCCGCTAGATGACATTACTAAAGTCATGCTACCGTGTGGATATAACTCCAAAGCCCACCATGTGTCTGTCTGTGTCTTAGAAAATGAACATCCCTGAGCTTTATTTGCCTCTGTAAAAATGTAGGGCATGCTGTGAGCCAAAGCAATGTCACCACAGGTGAGAAATGTTGGAAATAGTAACCCAAGAGTGATGGGACAAAGGTACCTTCTGAGTCCTTCAGGAAGAAGGAAGTGGTCATGTTCAATGCACTGCTTAAGTTTAACCCAACCTAGATACATAGATGGAACACAGAAGGGTATAGTCAATGTGCATTTATCTTTCTGGAGGCTCTTTTTGAATTCGCTTGAAAAATCTACTAGAGTCACTGCACAAAAGTACGCCCATTTTGATACCCAAACCATGTGAGCTACATATCTTTCATAACACAAAAAAAGTCAGTGTAGCCAAGGACAATGCTTTGTTTCAGGTATTTTTTTTTTTGACATGGCTTCTATGGAATAAGAGGAACTACTTCGGTAATATGTGTTTGTGAATAAACCCATCAGAAGAAAGATCAACTAACCCTCAGAGTTTCCAACACATTTTTTTCATAAAGGTGTCATACAGTCTGTATATAGGCAACATGAACATTTCTGTTTGGCATACATTGAGATTAATTGAGTCTGTTGGCTCTTAAGCGTTTCTCTGATACTTGAGTTCATTAATACCCTTTATGATTCATGAAGCAGCCAGGCTTCCAGGGCAATGCTTCAGAGTAGCATCCATAATGTAGACACTGGGGGCTCATGCCTGTAATCCTGTCTACTCAGGAGGCTTACATCTGGTTATTTAGATTCACAGCCAGCTCAGGCAAGAAAATCTAGGAGACTCTTATGTCCAATTAGGCATCAAAAATAAAAAGCCAGAAGTGGAGCTCAAGTGGTAAAGCATTATCCCTGAACAAAAATCTCTGGGATAGCACACAGATCCTGAGTTCAAGCCCCAGGACTGATACAAACAAAAAGGAATAGCATACAATAGAAATCAGTCAAAGACTTGGAAAAAATTATATTAAGTGAAGTAAGCCAGGCCCAAAGAAACATAGGTCCCATGGTTTCCCTTATTTGCAATAACTAGTATATGTCTGAGTCAAGCAGAAAAGGTCAGATAAGTTGATGTTAGGGAAATGAACCCTAAGATATGTATTCAAATGTTTTTTTTTCTTTCATGCGATTATTTCTAACACATTTATAAGATTATTTCTTTGTTGCTATGCATGTCCCTCCCCCACGGTATAACCCCTGTTTTCACTGTATTTGATGTTGTTATAATTTGTGGTGGGGAAGGGAAAAAACAAATCGTTTAAATAGGGATACAGGTGGACCCATTGCAACAATGAGATGTACAAGTCGTTATGTCAAAAACGAACTTTACAACTATGGTGGTAGGGGGAGGAGGGTTGAGTAGGGGGGTGGGGGAAGCATGGGAAGGGAAGGGGACACAAAGGAGGAGGCTACAATGCTTGATAAGAAATGTACTCATTATCTTGCCCATGTAATTGTAACCCCTCTGTACAGTATTTTCACAATAAAAGAAAAAAAAAGGAATCAGTTTCGGCTAACAAAAAGTGCAATAATTATAAGGATACAAATAATTATAAGGATACAAAAGCATTAAACTATAAAATATATATTAGAGATAATGATTTGTTTAAAGACAACATTTGACTCATGATTTTTACATCACTTATTGTCCTAGGAAGAAAAAATGAAAATGCCTGTAAAGGAGCTCCCAAAACCTGCTCTTTATTAGAAAAGTTCCCAGAGACCACAGGATGCCGGAGAGGACAGGTATTGAGAATGTTTTCATTACTGGAGAGAACACAAGTAGTCAGGAATACGAGAGAACCAACCTTTACGAAGAAAACAGTTGTTTTCTTTATTGCAATGAGCGCCTCTTTTGTCATTTGTTTTTTAATGAAATAATTTCATGCAGTTAATGTCAAAAGTGAGGGTTGGAAATGTTGATTGTTGACCACTTTGTGGAAAATGTGAGTGCATAGTTTTTGTTCCTTCGCCAAGAAAAAACTATGTGAATATAAATTCAGAGCTTTGCAAAGCCTCTCATCCAAACTGACAGTAATTTTGTACTGTCACTTTCATGTAGCAATTCCTCCACACTTTGTTCAGCGATGAGTAACATGTCATATTGTCTACACAGATCAAATATTCCATCATGCACCCTGGAACCCATGTGTGGCCACACACGGGACCCACAAACTGCAGGCTCCGAATGCATCTGGGCTTGGTGATTCCCAAGGAAGGATGCAAGATCCGCTGTGCCAATGAAACCAAGTGAGTTGCTTTGTCATGGCTTCTGCTGGGTCTTCTCAGGATGGATGCTCATGACAACAAAGCTGTGTTCAGTTGGATCATAGCTCTTTCTGGAGCTGGGTGATGTAAATCCAGACTCTCTAGTGTCTGCACCTCTTCGGCTTCCTTTCAGTCTGAAGATATTGCCCAGTGCCAGGACTGCTTGCTGTTGTCATTTCTCCATCTGGTTACTGAGCCTTCTTGCTTCCCTCTTTATGTGTACAGCCTTGCATTAGCCCACGTGTATTGTGTCCTGAATGTCTTAGAGGCATGATTCTTATGACTACCCAACTTGAGTTATTCATAAGTGTAAGAAGTTTGCCTTCCTGAAGAAAACACTCTTAAGATATTTTTGTTTTGCTGTACAGGAGACAGCATGGTGGCCATAGAAGCCAGCTGCCATTTTCAAATACCAGCTTTTCCATCTCTTCCTGCATGAGCTTGGCCAGATGCTTAATCCCCTTCAATCTCAGCCCCCTTGCTCATAAATTGGCAGTGGTAATACCTCCTTTACAAGATTGTTGCATGGATTAAGTGGACTATCGCCTACAAGGCACTTAATCTGTATCCCAGAATCAGTGGGGATATAGTGAAATGTCACATCACCCTCTCCTAGTACCTTTTTCTTTCTTAATGGTAGCAGGCTTATTCAAGATCTTGTGAACAAAGCACGCTTACTCTACCTACTGTCCCTGTGAGCCTCAGACTTCTATCCCTGGAGTGTTAGTCTATCTAACATATAACAATTACTAAGGCTTAGTTTCATTTCATAAAAATAGAGCTTTTCTTCTGACTTCTCAGAAGAATCTATGTAGATCTCAGTGATCCTGCTGACTGTCTACTAGTAATTAATATATATTAGCTTGGTCTCTACAAAAAAAAGCTATTAATTTCTACAGATCAGAAACTGTATCTGTTATCTTCTTAGACATATCTCATCTCTAGTAAAAATTAGACAGCAGGATGACAATTTAAGAGTTGTGCATTTGGTTGTTGGCCAAACCCATATCCTGGGCTCAGAGTCTCATGGGCTTGCCTGCCCAAGCTGCCTTCGAACCACAGTCTTCAAGTCTCAGTCTTCTCAGTAGGTAGGATTACAGGCATGACCTACCGTCATCTGGCAGCAGTGGTTTTGTTTTTGTTTTGAAACAAGATGGATTTAGATGTTGAAAGCTGAGAGAGAAGTTGCTTCCAGAACAGCACCTGTGAAAGAGGAAGCCAAAACATGGACCACATTTGAGGCACATGAGGGTAAGGCTGGAAAGTGAAGATTGTCCTAGAAACTAACTTTTCATAGAAGCTTGTGAATACCAAACTAATGGGATCAGACCTCTGTTAGGAATTTATTGTAGAAGCCCAGTGTGACTCCAATAGGAACAGTGGGAATAAAAGCACCACATTCAGGAGGCATGGAGGGCTGGAATTGGAGTGCTGGAGAAATGGAGAGTAAAGAGCAGATACAGGAGACGTGGTGTGGGTTGATTGAAGTGAATCCTGAGGGTGTGGTACAGGAGAATGGGCAATCACTCAGAGATGGTGCTGCATTTGCAGACTTGCTGAAGGAAGGTGGTGATACCTTGGCAAGTATTGGGACCTTGCAAGGCCTAAGGCAAGTTCAGGGAAAGGGAAATGAGTATAGTCTGTATATATACATTTTATTTAAGTTACTATTGGAACACAGTAGGAGATATTTCAAGGTGTTGGCTGGAAAAGGAGGTCTGTCACTCAGAGGAGAAGTCAAGTGTAAAGAGAGAGCTGTGAGAGTCAGGAGCTCAGCGGGAACTTCTAGAGGAAGCTTAACAGACAGCTGCATGATGACAGAAGTGAAAAGAAACCTGAAATATTTTGTCAGGCCTCTGGGAATTCAGCTTGGGTCTTCAGGTCTCTCTGCGAAAAGAGGGGAGGAGGGATGCTGGCAGAGACAGAGACAAATAAACCCAATTCTTGGAGTGCAAATAAGATCATAAGGCAGTGAATGGAGAACACCAAGTTTCATTTCTCAGGGCTAGTGAGGGTGTTAGGATTTGTCTGTTTGCTTGCACTTTTGTGTATTCAGTCTCTTTCCCTATTTCCTCCCTTCTTTTCAGCCTATTTTTTTTTCTGGTTCTCCCTTCCCTTCCCTTCCCTTTTCTCCCCTTCCCTTCCCTTCCCTTCCCTTTTCTCCCCTTCCCTTCCCTTCCCTTCCCTTCTCTTCCCTTCCCTTCCCTTCCCTTCCCTTCCCTTCCCTCCTTTCTGCCTCTTGTCATCTCTGCTTACAGATATTCAGAGCAAAAGCACTAGATAAAAATTTGGTTAAACTACAGAGCACCAGAGACTCACACCTGCAATCTGTAACTATCTAGGGAGCTGAGATCTGAGGGTCATGGTTCAAAGCTATGCTGGCTAGGAAAGTCCATCAGCTGAGATCTGAGAATCACAGTTTGAAGCTATCCTGGGTAGGAAAGTCTATGATACTCTTATCTCCAAATAACCATCTAAACACCAAAAGTGGAGCTGTGGCTCAGGTAGTAGAACAGCAACTTTGAGCAAAAAGCTAAGGGACAGATCATAGGCCCTGAGTTCTAACCCCAGTTCTGGCACACAAAAAAATAAAAATAATATATTTATTTGAACATAGGTAAGGACAGAGAAAGCATGAAACTGATTGACCTGAGGCAGAGAGGAAGCCAGTTGGAGAATGGCTGTGGCAATCAGACAGAGGAGCAGGCAGACAGTGCCAGGAGCTCAGGAGCATCACAGAGAGCTAAAAGCACCAGGAGACTAACCCACAAAACATCTCTGGCTCCCACCAAACCCTTGCGACTATGCTGGAAGATTCGAATCACTACCAAGTCCTCACCTGGAGTTTAAACCCTTCTAGATTAATAGCCCTTCTCCTATGAGAGCTTCCTCGGGTCACCCTGAAGGGGATCTGGAATAAGACATTAACTTGGCAGCCCTTTAGCCTTTGCTCAGCTAAAATTCACCCTATCTTCATGTGACAGTAGGAGCTGATGATAACAGTAATTGGCAGATGGGATATTTTGCAACTTCATGGTCATCATTAAAAAGAACTTGTCATCCACTCGCCAATTATGGAACCAGGGAGGCAATTATGTAAAGGATGAAGCACTGAATTCTCTCATGTCTGACAGGTGGGGAGCACCACCTCCTTTGGCTCCTGATCAGCAGCCCTTTTGCCATGTCCCTCCTGTCATACTTGCTGTAGACTATCTTCCTTGGTCATTCTTAACAGTGCTTAACAGGAATGCTGGTTGGATGAGGATTACAATGTCCTTTCAAAAGACTGCTTTCCCAAAGAAAATTGGGTCTGTTTAGTTAAGTGCTGTGTAATGCTTGTAATGAAAATACCTAGATATCTGAACAGTAGATAGTTTATAAACTCTGACAACAGAAAATGATTTCCAATGAAATCTGAAATTTCCACGCTGGTTGCAGAAATCTGTAAATGAAAAAAGAAATCAAACTTCTTTGCTGCAGACAATACTGACAATTTTTCAGAGCTTCTAACTCTTCAAATAAATGGGTTACCTGTAGCAATTCATGCACTGTGGTTCTCAGATGTTAATCATCAGATTTCTATTTCTTTTACAGCCATGAGATTCATGCCAGAGTGCATGTTGTTTAACTGTTCCATCATTCAAAAGCCTAGCACAGCTATTAGCTTACCGATATGCAGCTTTACACTGGAAATGATATGATCATTTCGATTTAACAAATGCCTTCTAATTAGAAAACCAATACATGCCTCTTGTACATAATTTGTAATGCACAGAGAAGCATGATTTAAAAAAGGATTATTTTTATGCTAGCATCCAGAGAATCACTCAGATGCTTTTTAACCCTTACAAATGCAATCATAGTAATTATATTCTACCAAATAATGCAGGCTCAACATGCCCAGTTCTAAGCATTCTGTATGCATTAGTCCTCGCAGCAATCCAATATAATTAGGATTATTAAAATCCCTGCTTTGCAACTGAGTAGGTTGAGATATAAAAATGAATATCACTTCTCCCAAGCTTAATTTCTTGGGGTTGCCCTAACAAATTACCTTAAAATGGATAAACTAAATCAACAGAAATGGATCTTAGAGCCCAGTTAATTCTAGTTTAGAACCAAGGTGCCAGCAGGGTTGGCTCTCTTGGAGGTTCTGTTCCTTCCTCTAACTTCTGGTGGCAGAGTGGAATTCTTGGTGTCTCTTGGCTTGTAGGATCATCACTATAATCTCTGCCTCCATCTTAACCTCCTCTCCCTGTGTCTTCTTCACTACTTTTTATAGATTTTTTAGATTTAATCCAGAATGATCTTATCTCAAGAATCATAAACTTGATTCTGTCTTCAAAAACTCCTTTTCAAAAATCAGTTCTGAGGTGATATGTCTTTTGAGGGAAAAATGGACATTCGACACATTTCTATAGAAATCAGCTTCTATCCCTGGTATTCTGGCTTACAAATCTCTCCTCCTGAACACAGAGAACAACATTATATAAGGTATTTTTGAGGGAAATGAGTATTTTTGTGTGTGTGTTTGCAAAATGAGATCATGCTGTACTATATTATATATAAGGTGACCAACCATTCTGAATACTGGGTTTCATTTTCTGGACAGTTGGACAGAAAGGGGAGAATCAGCTGAAGAAACTCCATTTATAGGCCTTTGGTTTCTCAATCCAAGCAGGCTTGGCTTTGGGGCTGTAGAATGAGCTGATCAGCACTTTTGGTCCATTGTTTAGTAATGTTAAGGCAGTGGATAAGCATGACCGCAGCAAGTGCAAATTGTTATCCTGTGGCTGAATTGTGCCAGCTTTGGGAATTCCAGCACATCCCTCCAAGTCTCTGAGACCTTTCCAAAATATTCTGGTACTGTGCTAAGAGATGACCTACAACCTCATGGTCATCCTAGAAACAACATTGCTGCCTGCAAATTGTCAGCCCTAAGTGTTGGACATGACTGACAAGACAACCAGGAAAGCACCTAC